TGTGTGAAACGAACTTGGGGTCTCTTTACCCATAATAATTTACCTGGATAACTACTTCCCCATTTGTTTGTTTTTCAATGCGTGAGTAGGGCGGACAGTGCCTGGTGTGAGTAGGTCGGTCAGTGCCCGGTGTGAGTAGAGCGGACAGTGCCTGTGTGAGAGGGCGGCTGGGGTGCCTGGTGTGAGTAGGGCGGACAGTGCCTGGTGTGAGTAGGGCGGTCAGTGCCTGGTGTGAGTAGGGTCGGTCAGTGCCCGGTGTGAGTAGGTGGCTGTGCGCCTGGTGTGAGTAGGGTCGATTGAAGTGCCTGGTGAGTAGGTCGGTCAGTGCCTGGTGTGAGTAGGTCGGTCAGTGCCTGCGTGGAGTAGGTCGGTCAGTGCCTGCGTGAGTAGGTTTCCACTGCGCCTGCGTGAGTAGGTCGGTCAGTGCGCCTGGCGTGAGTAGGTCGGTCAGTGCCTGTGAGTAGGGCGGACAGTGTCTGTGAGAGGTCGGCTTCAGTGCTCAGTGTGAGTAGGTCGGTCAGTGCCTGCGTGAGTAGGTCGCTGGGGTGCCTGGTGTGAGTAGGTCGGTCAGTGCTCAGGTGAGCAGGGTGACAGTGCCTGGTGTGAGAAGCTGGTCAGTGCCTGCAGTGAGTAGGGTCGGACAGTGTCTGGCGTGAGTAGGGCGGACAGTGCCTGGCGGAGTAGGGCGGACAGTGCCTGCGCGTGAGTAGGGCGGATAAAAATTGGCGTGAGTAGGGCGGACAGTGCCTGGCGTGAATGTACATCTACAGGTTTTTTTATCTGCCAAGTGGATCCAGGATTATCAAAAGGGGTCCAAGAAAGCCAGGGGTGGGGGAATACAGCGAGCCCACCCAGCTGGGGGGGGGCACTGTAAATCTCCTCCCCTCCAAAAAAAAAAATATATAACCTGAACAATATCATGGACATTTTGCGGCCATGTGCACTTGATATTATGAGATATTCTGAAGTCAATAGTAATTACTTTTTACTATACAGAAACGCCTGAAGACAATACTATATTAAAGAAAAAGTATTGGAATTTTCTAATGAAATTGGGGGGGATCCGGCCACCGAAGACGCCCCTAGATCCGCCCCTGCTCTATAACACCTTCTACTTTGTTTACCTCGTCAGCACCCCCTCCTCCCCTCGAGTCCCCTGTGGTACTTCATTGGTTTGTTACCCCGGCGTCTCCTAGCCTAGAGTCTACCTGGGTAATTCAATTTTACCTGTGCTGGAGATCCTTCAGGTGTGAGACGTCAGCTACAAGCGTCTTTTGGTTAAGCGAGATCTCCATTGTTTGGTGGTGTGGATAGTGGGAGTGGTTGGATGAGGTGGATAGTTGAGGTGGAAGGGGATGGATGAGGTGGGTAGTGGATGTGGATAGTGGAAAAGAATGGATGAGGTGGATAGTGGATGTGGGTGGATATTGAGGTGGATTGGATAGTGGATGGATATTGAGGTGGATAGTGGACGTCAATGGAGGATGAGGTGGATGGTCGATGGATAATGAGGGAATTGTGAGATGGGATTAATAGTAAGGTGGAATAATAATAATAATAACAACAACAATAATAATAACTCCCAGCCAAGACAACAACGAATATGGAGACTGTACCAAATACCAGCAGCTCACTCGATACTGCTATACTGAACCACACACCATAACCCACTGTTGCCATTTGTAGATAAACACGAGGGCAAGTAAGTCAATATGTGGAAGGGAGAGAGTGGGGAGGGAGGGAGGGAAGATGTAAGGGATAGGAGGGGGCTAAGGTATGGGGAGGGAGGGAGGGAGGGAGGGAGGGTATGTCTGATGGAATACATTGTCTTGAATTGTTGATGGGATAGGTTGAGAACACGGCACAATAGTGAGTGGGTCTCTTGTGAAGCAAATTGTGTTTTAGATTGGCACATCAGAAAAGTAAGCGTGGTTGTCTGTCCATAAAACGCTTTCGTATTTATAAATAAAACCTGTACCTGGATTTTGTTTGTGATTCTTAAAAAAAAAATGTGTGGATTATCACGTTAAAGCATGTGTGTGTGTGTGTGTGTGTGCGTGTGTGTGTGCGTGTTGGGTTAGTTGCTCCAGAGGCCGCCAGGTGTATGGTAAACAAATCAGAGCAAGTATGGAGATGTGAGAATGGAGGAAGGAGAAGAGGGAAAGGCGTGTGGAGGAGGAGAGGAGGTTGCATGTGGGAGGAGGAGGAGGAAGGGAGGGGGGTTGCATTTGGGAGGAAGGGGAGGAAGGGAGAGGGGTTGCATTTGGGAGGAGGAGGAGGAAGGGAGGGGGGTTGCATGTGGGAGGAAGGGAGCCCAGGCTTATTGCACACGTCACCACTCGATCAGTAAACCGACCCCTTTCTCCCTTCTCCCTCAGTCCACCCTAGCCTCTCCCTCCTCCCTATATGCTCCCTTGTATCCCCCGCCCCCTATTAAATCTTTCTTGTGATGTGTCGGTCGACCTATTGGCCGCCCCTCCCGCCTCTACCTGCTGGACCAATGAAATTAATAAGAGCGCATTGTGTTTACCTGCAGGCCTGGCTCACACAAACAACAGCTGACACCTCCTCAAGCTCTGGAATATCGCCTCACCTGTGTAATAGTTATTTGTTATTATGACGCGGCAATAAAAGTTAATAGGTGCTGTTATGGTACATCCTGACACCTGATGTGTCTCACCCTGACACCTGATGTGTCTCACCCTAGCACCTGATCATATTGCCCGCCCTGATCACCCATGCCCTACACCTGTGCTAGCACCTGATGTGTCTCACCCTGACACCTGATGTGTCTCACCCCAGCACCTGATGTGTCTCACCCTAGCACCTGATGTGTCTCACCCAGCACCTGATGTGCCAGCACCTGAGTGTCTCACCCTAGACCTGATGTGTCCCACTGCACCTGATGTGTCACTGCACCTGACCTAGCACCTGATGTGTCTCACCCTAGCACCTGATGTCTCACCCAGCACCTGATGTGTGTCTCAGCACCTGATGTGTCTCACCCTACACCATGTGTCTCACCCTAGCACCTGATGTGTCTCACCCTAGCACCTGATGTGTCTCACTCTAGCACCTGATGTGCCACCCTAGCACCTGATGTTCTCACTCTAGCACCTGATGTGTCTCCACCCTACACCTGATGTGTCTCACCTAGCACCTGATGTGTCTCACCCCAGCACCTGATGTGTCCACCAGCACCTGCTACCCTGATGTGTCTCACCCCTAGCACCTGATGTGTCTCACTCTAGCACCTGATGTGTCTCACCCTAGCACCTGATGTGTCTCACCCTAGCACCTGATGTGTCTCACTCTAGCACCTGATGTGTCTCACCCCAGCACCTGATGTGTGTCTCACCCTAGCACCTGATGTGTCTCACCCTGCACCTGATGTGTCTCACCCTAGCACCTGATGTGTCTCACCCTAGCACCTGATGTGTCTCACCCCAGCACCTGATGTGTCTCACCCCAGCACCTGATGTGTGCTCACCCCAGCACCTGATGTGTCTCACCAGCACTGTTCACCCAGCACTGATGTGTCACCCTAGCACCTGATGTGCCCCTTAAGATGTGCACCCTGACACCTGATGTGTCTCACCCCAGCACCTGATGTGTCTCACCCCAGCACCTGATGTGTCTCACCCCAGCACCTGATGTGTCTCACCCAGCACCTGATGTGTCTCACTCTAGCACCTGATGTGTCTCACCCTAGCACCTGATGTGTCCACTCTAGCACCTGATGTGTGTCTCACCCCTAGCACCTGATGTGTCTCACTTAGCACCTGATGTGTGTCTCACCAGCACCTGATGTGTCTCACCCTAGCACCTGATGTGTGTCTCACCCCAGCACCTGATGTGTCTCACCCTGACACCTGATGTGTCTCACCCTAGCACCTGATGTGTCTCACCCTAGCACCTGATGTGTGTCTCACCCCTAGCACCTGATGTCTCACCCTAGCACCTGATGTGTCTCACCTAGCACCTGATGTGTCTCACCCAGCACCTGATGTGTGTCTCACCCTAGCACCTGATGTGTCTCACCCTGACACCTGATGTGTCTCACCCTAGCACCTGATGTGTCTCACCCTAGCACCTGATGTCTCACCCCAGCACCTGATGTGTCTCACCCTAGCACCTGATGTGTCTCACCCTAGCACCTGATGTGTGTCTCACCCTAGCACCGATGTGTCTCACCTACACCTGATGTGTGTCTCACCCTAGCACCTGATGTGTCTCACCCCTAGCACCTGATGTGTCTCACTCTAGCACCTGATGTGTGTCTCCCTAGCACCTGAGTGTCTCACCCAGCACTGATGTGTGTCTCACCCTAGCACCTGATGTGTCTCACCCTAGCACCTGATGTGTCTCACCCTAGCACCTGATGTGTCTCAACCTAGCACCTGATGTGTCCTCTCACCCAGCACCTGATGTGTGTCTCACCCTAGCACCTGATGTGTCTCACCCCAGCACCTGATGTGTCTCCCTAGCACCTGATGTTCTCACCTGGCACCTGATGTGTCTCACCCTAGCACCTGATGTGTCTCACCCTAGCACCTGATGTGTCTCACTCTAGCACCTGATGTGTGTCTCACCCTAGCACCTGAGGTGTCTCACTTTAATAGGCTTATTGACTAAAGCTCTGCTCACATATTGCGTCCTTAGTAACTATCACCGTTTGTGGACGTTTAATCGGCTCAAAGGTTCGAAACGAGTCTCGAATCCACATCGATGAATTCGTCGATGAAACAATTCAACTCACCCGACAACCAATCGACTTTTACGAACAGTGAGGGTTGTCGAGGATGCCAGAAGTGAACAGTTAGTCGATAGATCAGTTGCCTCCTCGTGCTACCTGAAGCCTCGCAATACACCTGACACGACAAGTACACCTGACAATTTTTGTCCTCATTCATACACGTTCCACACGATACATTATGAAATATTTTTAAGGTTTATGTTATCGATAAATCTTGTGTTAATAACTGTATTCTTATCCCTGACAGCTGCCTGACGGGTGCGAGCTGACGGTGGGGGAGCTTCGCGACATGGCTAGCCGGCAGCAGCAGCAGATAGAGACGCAGCAGCTCCTGGTGGCTCGGGAGCAGCGGCTCAAGTACCTCAAACAGCAGGAGTCCCGCGCTGCCGCCGTCGCTGCCGAGGCCGAGCGACTAAGACGACTCAGAGAACGTGTCGAAGCCCAGGAGGCCAAGTTACGACGTCTTCGTGCCCTTAGAGGCCAGGTGAGTACAACTAGGCCCACTAAGAGGCCAAGTTATGACATCTGTGCCCTTAGAGGCCAGGTGAGTACCTCCAGGCCAACTAGCAGGCCATGTTACGACATCTCCATGCCCTTAGAGGCCACGTCAGTACCCCCCAAAGCCCACTAAAAGGCTAACCTACGACTCTCCATACCCCTAGAGACCTGGTGAGTACCTCCTGCCTTCTCGTATTTCCTCTCCGCCGTCCCGGAGGGAGATGAGAAGGGCAACTGAATTCATGTGGTACACAGCCGTGAGGGAGGTGAGGAACAGCAACAAACCAGTTGATTTAACCAATCCTGGTATATAGTGTGTATGTAAATAACCCAACTGGGGTAATCAGTAGTTACCCTTCGTCTTCAAGGGAGTTATGGCCTCTTGTGTGTGTGTGTACCTGGCTGACTGTGAGGGCGGGAACATGAAAGAATAACAATGGATTTTAACCGAACCTTTTCTGTGGATGCATCACAAGATCTCAGACGATTTTGGTAATGGAAGATTTGGGTGAATATGATCTAGTGGTGAAAGAACCTGGCAGGGTGGCTGAGGAAGATATGGTCACCTTTACTTACTGTCTCGTGGGTGAAGTTATACTTGTTATCTAAACCTTTAACATAAAAGATTATCTGAAGATTATTCCCGGCTTATTTCACCTGACGATTAACCAACCTACCGAACCTAACAGTCCCCACCCCAGGTAGCATAGGATAGTTGATCTTCAGGTGAAATAAGCTGGGGTGTCTATTATTCAGATAAAGAACATAAGGAAATAAGGAGTCTGCAATAGGCTGGTTGGCCTGTGCATGGCAGCTCCTGTCGAGAGTTACTACCACTCTCTATCCATGAATCTATCTAGCCTCCTTTTAAAACTTTCCAGCGTTCCAGCACTTACTACAAAGCTTGTTCCACTCGTCCACCACCCTATTTGTGAACCAGTTCCTTCCTATCTCCCTCCTAGACCTAAACTTATCCAACTTAAATCCGTTGCTACAAGTCCTATCTTGCTCGGATACTATGAGAACTTTATCTATATCTCCTTTATTGATTCCTTTCACCCACTTAAATACTTCTATCTTATCTCCCCGCACTCTTCGTCTTTCTAGGGAATGCAAGTTTAGTTTATTTAACCTATCTTGATATGAAAGTTTTCTAAGATCCGGAATCATTTTCGTCATTCTTCGCTGCAATGACTTCAGTGAATTGATATCCATTCTATAATAAGGGCACCAGAACTGAACCGCATAATGGAGGTGCAGCCTGACTAGCGCAAGATATAGTTGCAATAAGACCTCTGCACTCTTATTACTTACACTTCTAGATATAAAACCTAATACTCTGTTTGCCTTATTTCGAACATTAACGCACGTTTTCTAGGCCGTAGGTCCGTGCTTACAAGTACCCCTAAGTCTCTTTCACAAGTCGATTTCTCTAGGTTGATGCTGTTAAGGCTGTATATATTGACAGTATTTGTTTTTCCAATATTAAGGACGCTGCACTTGCTGGTGATGAATTTCATTTGCCATTTTACTGACCACTCCTGCAGGTTATTTAAATCCTTCGGTAGTGCATTTGCATCCTTCCCTGAATTAATCTGCCGCCCTATTTTGGTGTCATCCGCAAACTTACTTATGCCACTGCTGATCCCAGAATCTATATAGTTTATGTAGATCATGAACAAGAGTGGGCCTAGTACTGATCCCTAGGGAACCCCACTGGTTACACAGCCCCACTCAGATTTAACACCATCTACGCTGACCCTCTGTGTTCTATCGGTAAGCCATGATTTTATCCAATTTAAACTTCCCCTCGATACCACGAGCCTTAACTTTTCTCAGAAGCCTCTGATGCGGTACTCTGTCAAACTCTTTGCTAAAGTCTAAGTAAATAACATCGTAATTTTCGTCATTATCTACTACCTCCAAGACTTTCCTAAAAAACGTCAGCAGATTTGTTAGACAAGATTTTCCCTTTGTAAACCATGTTGAGACTCGTAGATTAATTTGCTTTTCTCTAAATACGATCGGATGCAATCTGCTATAATTGATTCAAGAAATATCCCCACTACTGACGTCAAACTAATTTAATACTACTACAGAAACACAATTATATCTTGTTCACAAAATACTGTACCTTGAGGAAGTCCCACATCCCAAACATATATATGAACTCCACCAGTTTCTTACATGTAACAATATTCTTCACCACGGCCGTCGCCACACTCTCCACGGCTGAATTCTAAAGACCGCTTTACGGGGGGGCCCCGGTCGTGATGCCTTCTTTACAATTCACCCAGCAAGCCAGTGTACATGGTGGAGCATACGAGTATATATATATACAGTATATATTGAAAATAGCGGGATCACCTGAAGATTAACCCCCAGCGTAAGTCACCTGAAAATTAACCTATTTAACGCTAATTTAACATAACATAAACTAACCTTACCACCCTGTCGTCCAGATCATAAATTATGGACCCAATATTTACTACAGCAAACTCGTGGTATTCAAATCGCGTTGGTAAATGCTGGATGATCCGGGCAATAGTATGGACCCCCGTTGCCAGGCGTATGAATAAGTGAGCTGTGTCGTCCACCAATGAATGCTGGGACAGAACTGTACCCTAACCGTCCATTATAATATATGTTGCAGTACTGTCAATCTCCTATATGAAACAGTATGCATTGTATGGTCCGCGTTGCCAGCTGTAGGAAAGTGGTGATAACGTCCCCGCTGCCAGATGTATGACTAATGAACGATAACCGTCTACTGTATATTTAGGGGGAACATTTTATAGGAATATTTAAGCATTGTGAACATTTTCCGTTGTGTAACTGTCACGTAGTAAAGAGTGAGTGAATGACCAACCCTAACTTCAGGCAGGAGGAAGGAACAAGTTTTACCCATGGAAATAACGCTATGAAACTGAATAAAAACATCCACCTGGAAATAGAAGCGATAGTATTATTTCCGGCGATTATTTTCATGTTATTTAAAAAAAACTGAGACTCGTACTGCGTGATGCTCGTTGTGTAGACTAAAGAAGAGGGTGTTTCTCCCTCGTGTCTGCTGAGTTAAGGTGTTGGCCAATCTGTATTTGCATATGTTTAAGGTTCTTGGTTGTGTGGAGAGGGAGAGAGATAGCAAGGAAAGATTGAGAGACCAGGGAAAGAGAGAGAGAGAACGGGGAAAAAGAGGGAGAATAGGGAAAGAAAGAGAGAACCGGGAAAAAGAGAGCAAGAATGAAAAAGAGAAAGAGAAAGCAAGAACAGGGAAAACAGAAAGAGAAAGCAAGAACAGGGAAAAAAGAAAGAGAGAGATCAAACTCATTAACCTATTCGCAGGTGAGTTATATTAATAAACAAGACGCGTGGACTGCCTGTGTTACCTGTACTGTTGACTTAATTAATGTAATAATCAGACGGTGGACAATGAACTCGCGCGTGTGAGGGTAGGGCTTTAATTTAATGTTACTAGTTCAAATACAGTGCAGGTACATAACGCGGATACAGGTGCGGCTATAAATACAGGTACACAAATAACACGGATACAGGCGCAGTTATGTATACAATACCAAACAACAGTATATGTTAGAGGAATATAAGAATGGAGGAAACTGCAGCGGGTCTGTTGGTCCATACTAGGCAGCTACACCCAACCCCTATCGCTCATATATCTCACCCAACCTATATTTGAAGCTTACCAGCGTCTTAGAGTTAATAATGATTCTCGGTAACCAGTGTTTACATATCTCGTGCCTAAATCTAAATTTGTCCTGGTTAGATAGTTTACGTACCTTTGTCATATCGCATTTGTTTAGCCTTGACTTCCATTTACTGTACACACCTCGACCATATCGCCCCTCACTCTACGTGTCTCGAGGGAGTGCAAATTCAAATGCACTCCACATCCTTCACTTCCCTGACTAATATCAGGTACCCGTTCACAGCTGGGTTGACTAGGGTGCACTGTTTATTATTGTCACATCTTACAATAATAATGAACCTCAAAGGTAAATAAAAAAATAAGTAGTTGAAAACAAAAACTGACAATATATGTTTCGTGTAAATGGTACTGTGTTGTCTTGCCCTCAATAACAACTAAGTCATTTTGTATTATATTACCAAAGTTAGAAGACCAAAGTTTCGTTGTAGGTAACCGTGGGGGGGCCGTCACCCGAACGACAGATTTATGCAGCGTGCTTACCGTGTCCGGGTAGAAACTTTGACGATAACAATAAATAATTCTTTTCTTAGTTGTTTACTGAGAATTTGAACTTTTTGTGTGTTTTGACGAAATGCCTCCAGACAATTTCCTAATGGGCAATATCTCACCTACACGGTTTCTTCCAGCCTCGGACTATACCAGAGGGTGAACGTTAGAAAGGAGGAAACTGCAGCGGACTACTGGTCCATACTAGGCGGCACCGTTTACGAATCTAGGAAAAAAAGGTCACAAGAAAAAAGTGAAAAAGTCACAGAAGAAACCTAACCTAACATAATTGTATTGCCACCATAAATAAATTGTATTGTGTACAAGTCATGTATTGTCAGTTAATAAGTGACAAAATATTTTTTTGCTTTATTACTTTTAGCTGTTAATGATATTTAAATAAAATGTAACTTTTCTTAGCCAAAATTTTGATTTTTTTTCTGACTTTATTTCCGCTCACCCCGTTTACACTCACCCAACCCTACAGTACATTTGATGCTTCCTTGCGCGATTAAGATTTTGGGTAACCTGTTCCACCTGCCGCAACTTTATATCCAAACCAGTGTTTATCTATCTCACGCCTAAATCTAAATGTGTTTAATTTAACACCTATCCTGACTTGTGCTAGCCTTTATTTCTCCCCGGCGTGAGCGACCGTTACTTCTGCCACAAAATGAATGACCATTAAACGAGTCATTGTTGGCTGGCTGGGTCCGGGGTAGTTTTTCTCCCAGGAGGATCAACGGCGGCAGGGTTCACTTGGTGATGAATGT